GCAGCAAGGGCATACTCGCTCAAACCTAGGTATATAACACCGTCCCTTACACACTCTGTTAGCTGCCAGTGCCCAACAGCAAAGCCTAAACTGCATAAGCTTGCGATTCGCCGAACGTGGGATAAACATTGTGATGTGCAGGAGCACCTCCTTCCTGCCCGCTTGCTCGGCCGCCAGCCCCATCCAATGCTTATACTTCGCCATGTGGATTCCTGGTTGCTTGCCATCTGACGGATACACGTCAGGCTGGACATCTAAACGCGTATGCTTCCAACCACTCATTAATCGGTCCTTGAACTCCAAAATCACACCTTCTGGCATTGGCCTGTTCATCAGCCACTCCACTCGTTCATCTACCTCGTGTAGCCCTTGCGGGGCCTCTTTCCATACATCGTGCCCCAAAAAACATAGAAAACGGAGGAGTAGTGTCCCCCATCCGGCCCCTTCGGGGTTGGAGAGGGATTCTGCGACCTCCTGTCGCAAAACTTGGTATGCCACAGACCCACGCTGTAAACGGACATGGTTCCAAAACCTCACAACCTGCTTGAGAACGTGGTAGTGTAGGGGTAGCTGCGATAGCTCTGCGAACAGGAGGCGGTGTGTTGGTCTGGCAGCTCCTACAATTTGCCGCATGAAAGATATCTGAAGCTGCACTGCCCTGTCCTTTAGGCATGCCTCGAAGGGCCCCTCTGCAAGGTTATTTGCATCACTCCGCTTCCTGAGCCTGTCCGAGACCTCAGCTAGCATAAACGGCCCCCACGCTTGACAACCATACAACAGTATTGCTCGTACCTGCGTATCAAAACACCTCATCCTCACATCTGGGGCGAACAACTTTAGCTTATCTAATTTTGCACTCAACGCAAACATAGCTGCTCTAGCTGTGTCATACAACTGCTGACGGCAGGCCCAGAACTGCCGTTCCAGCCCATACACTAACCCCAGATATCGTGCACTATCCTTGGCCGGTATGGCCTCTCCAGCCAGCCTGAGCTCATCACACGATGCTTGGACAGCACTTCTAGTATCGCTGTCGCTTGCAAAAACGAGGCGTTCACATTTTGACACATTTGGGCGCATCCTAAAATCATCACAGAACATGTCCACAATGTTGAGCAACTCCCCCATGCGTCCCGGTGTTGTTGCCAGAAGGCTAACGTCGTCGGCATAGAGGAGGATGGACACTCGCTCATTTCCAACCTCCGGTGCATCCTCTGGCCGTGCCCCGGTATTAATACCGTCGTGCATATCGATGACGTCCATGAGAGTTTCAATATAGAGCCCAAACAGCTCAGTTGATAGTGGACAGCCTTGTTTCACACCCTGTTTTGACTCAAATTCACCTCCAGCCTTGCCATTCATCTTGATGACCATCGTAACCTTATCATACGCCCGCATCAGCGACCGCAGCATGGACCCTTCAACCCCTCTCTCTTGCAAGCGAAGCCACATTATCTCCCGCGGCACCTTGTCAAACGCCTTCCCAAAGTCAATTTGCACGATGATTAACAGCCGCTGTCCCGGTTGGCTGTGCCTAGTAGTAAGGTACTGCTTGGCAAAGAGATGATGTATAGTACCGAAACCTCTTCTGAAACCCGCTTGGCCTCGATGCCTAAGTGAGAGCGTCTCCCCTGTGCGAGCGAGCCTATCCAGGAGGACCAGCGCGTAACATTTCGCCAAGGCGCCCCCTACTGCTATGCCCCGGTAGTTACTCGGCATGCTGGGGTCCCCCTTCTTGTAAATAGGGGTGAGGACGGTAGTTGTAAACTGCCGTGGGAAGTCCCCAGTCGCCCTGATATGTTCCAGAAGCACGTGCAGTACCGGAACAAGCTGATTCACTTCCCCCCGTCGCCTGCCCCTACCATTACCCGACGTGGAGCCTTCTTCCTCTCGGGGCAAACGCGCATAGCGGTAACATTCCGACGGCGCTACTTCCAAACCTGGTGCCTTACTGTTAGGCAGCCGGTCAACAGCACGTGCGACTTCCTCCAGCGTGAGGGGGGGGTCTAGGATTTCTGCTGCCTTCGCAGTCCTGCCCAAAACCGAGTGGGATGACCGCCATTCCTGCCCCTCTAGGAACTGCCCAAAGTTAATGAAGTTCAAAAGCCGGTTCGCACCATCAGGCCCTGTCTCCCCTACACCTGCATTTAAGAGCCCAGCAAAGTGTTCCCTGAAGACCTCAATATCGTCTATCACACATCACTCCCTCAACTTCCCTCCTAAAGCCCGCCACAAAGCTCGTTGGTCTTGCCGACATTTGGCCACAAAATCTCTCATCCTGTCCTCCTCATATGCCGCCTTTGTGTGTCTTTTTGCCCGGTTATAATCCGTCCACGCATGGCGGAAAGCCTCCCATTCCCGGTTCCACTAAACCGTATTCCCACCTGCCGTCATGCCGGTAGGTCGGTGGGTATCGAAGGCCCTCACCAGGACTTTGTACAGGGCACCTCCAATGCGTTCGACAGCTTGTGTGGTGTTGCAAACTCCCCTCTGCAGGTCCTCGGCCACTTGGCTTAAGGCATTCATAATAGGGGACCCCCCCTCAAAATATTCCGCGTAATCCTGGTATCATGCAATATCAAACTCCACCCGGGCTTTTCGGCCTTTACCGTCCCTACAGCTGCTTTCGTCATCCACTGTAACATTAAGAACAAGCATCAAAGGACAGTGGTCGGTGGGCTCCCATCCATCCAACTCGATCAGGTTTCCTACCCTCAGAAAGGTGGCGTACTGCTGAAGCACACGCGGAGTCGCTATGAATAAATCGATCATGATCATACTACCGCCTGCCTCCCCCTTAGGGAAAGTTAGGCGGCCTTCTGGGTCCCCTCTCATCCGGCTGTTCATCACGAGCAGTCCCTCGGATCTGCAGAGCGCCCCAAGCTGGGCATCAAAGAAATTGCAAACTTGGTCCTGGCACTTTCGATTTCCGAGTCCATCATAATTTTGGTAGTCCCTCAGTCCTTCAAAACCCATGACCTCGCATACGGCCTGCGACTGCTCTAAATCCGGGATGTCGTTCACGTAAGCAGGTAGGTCCATCGGGGTAGCACGGTTCCGCTCATGCTGTGCTCCAGACAGACGTGCGTTAAGGTCCCCAGCTATCAGTACGTCCTCATCGCCAAGCCTGAGTTCCGTTAGTGACTGTTGGATCCTGGTAAAAACGGCTTCTGTTGCTGCAGTGCGCTGTGATACGGTGCCTCCACCATCCGGGTAGACCCTGGACGTCTCTGGTGCGAGGTAGCAGGCTCCCATCAGGAGACTGTTACCTGTGGAAAGGCTAACGCGTGCCCAAATGACCTCGCACCCTGGCAGCTGGTTGTCCTTGCACACTACCGTAATACCCCTCGTGAGTGACTCCCGTACATACAGCGCGACGCCTCCATAATCGGCCCTCAGGAATGTACATGTAAGATTGCGGGGTGGGTGGGTGTGCACACAGATCTTTTAAAAGATCTGCAGGACTCGTCTGTTTATGCCTCCTTAAGGCTCCTGCTGAGAGCTGTATTAGTTATCTATTGAAGTGTATGTGTGGTTGTTACAGTGGGCTCCAGACTTACAAAGTGTAGAGCCAGCTGGCTGCAGCGGGCTAGCGGCTGTGCACTGCACCTGATACCATGAGGGCAGACAAGACTCTCACCTAGACCAGACAACGCAAGTCACCTAGACAGCTAAACAAAATTAATAGTTAATTATGTAGCAATTATTAACAATTAATAATGAAATGTAACAAATCGTGCTCAAGTTGCTTTGCTGAACACGAATTACGCAACGGCACCAGGATTTATACGAGAACCTCAGTAGGTTACGAGGCCTGCTACTGTCCCGAAATATGTCCGTCAGTAAAGCCAGTGAAGCCCGTCAGTAAAATTTTTGATTATTTAAAGGTGACACAGGGTTCCGCCTATAGGTGATCCAACATTTCCCTGACGTCTCGACTGGTGGACAAATCTACTGGCCAAAGAGAGAGCATTCAGCATTGCTGCACCAGTTCCTGTCCGTTGTTTGTAATACAGAACGTCCACCGCGCTTTTCATTTGGCCGCTTGCTTCCGCACAGCCACGCCCACACGGTGTCAGACGTGGGTACCCTTCATGCATAGTCTTCGTGCCGCTTGCGTCCCACGTTTCCTTCCAAAACATATTTACGCTTCATTTCTTAAATTCATTCGTGCTACACACCAATCGGTCAATATCTGCTGCTACTTGGATCAAGGGCTACGTTCAAACAGGTTGAAAGCGCATGAGCCACACCGTATATGATAGACACAGGTTAAAACGTTTCGTGCCGGTTCTGTTGGACAGCGTGTGCAAGTTATTAATGTTTTCTGTCACCATATATCAACTTGCAAGTTATCGAGTCTTTTTGACGATTGACATGTAAACGTCATACGTTTAATTTTAGTTTATCGCGTTGACTAGCGGCTTCTTTGTATATTGGCATGCATGATAATGACAAAGCTCGATTCCATAATTTGGTTTCTAACGTGACTGTGCTCGTAGCCCGTTCATCTAGTGCACACAACGAAAAGGTAAAAACAGGATCCCTTACACAATGCGATGTATTTTTGCTTGGGGATTATGCGGGTCCACGCGAGGCGACACGGCCTCCGCCGTGTTACACAACTTCCCTGCTGCCTGCAGGCGGATGTGGTTATCTTCACCTTCGCGGAGGTTTATTGCCTGAACCAACTTAGTTTTTATATATGTTTATTATAATGTATCCATATGTTCAAAGTATGTATGGTGCCTCATTTTGAAGTCGAACGTGGAATATACATGGAAAAATACGGAGCAGAACGTTAAACGTAGACATCAAGGCGTTCCTTCTGCACATAACATGATGCATTATAAGTTCCGGTTGTTTACCTTGATTAGCAGTCATTCCACCAGGTTATGACTGCTAACTATATCTTTAGACCCTACCCTACCCTACCGCCCATCCAAAAGAATCATACATGGTTCAGCCTCTAAGAATCAAGGCCATCAGTGTCTCTATTAATGGCAGATCTTGTCCTTAAGTGGTGCTGCTTCCTGCTGTCGCTGCTGGCCTGCCTCTCAGCGGGTGAGCCCACCACTGGAGGGCAAAAAGCTAATGGTGCACCTGCGGGTACGTTTCTTCCTGGAAAGGTGTTGCTAACAGCTAATTATTAAAGCTGCATCAGGTCATGCAGCATGCAGTCTAGTTTGCCTTAACGTAAGCTGCTCTACATGCATGTGTTGCTCAGCGAGCCTCGAAACCAGCCACCTCCAGCTGCCATTCATAGTGTCCGCTTTGGATAGCGGTGCTTCCAATGTAGAAAAACTGCGTGTGCAACTTCGACAAGCAGTGGAGGTGTCCTCATATGTCGACCTGCTCTTCACTGCAACTGAGTTTCTTGTACATGCAGATGGTAAGTGGAGTGTGCGGTCGGGGGCTTTGAATGGCTGTTAGGACGGATTGGGGTATGATGTTTTTCAAAGAGCGACAAACCGTTGACGCACAAGATAAATTTAGATTGATGCAGGTCACTTGGCCTTCATGGGTCCAAAGCTTCTACATACAGCAAAGGCCTTGATAGCGTGCTTGATTAACAAAGTAGTCCATGTCAGCAGGTAGGTCATACTGCCCGTTGCATGCAAGAGGGTTCATGCGGGACCTGTCCAGCAGATATCACCCTAGGGTCGAGTAATATGCTTACACGAACATGCATGGTGGGCTGCATATACCTACTTGTCTGGCGGTCCAGCTTACCAAAGGCAGGTGGCCTGCATAAGCTAGATAAGCGTTACACGTATGCCAGGTGAAGCCAAGAGCAAGGGGCCCTTCGTAAGTTAAAAAACCTGGTGGGTATGCTAATGTAAGCAAGCCGGACCAATTGCAATTGGTCCCCCAACCCTAAGCCAAGCTAGCCTGCAGGCGAGGATTCCACCGCATAAGCTAATTTAGCCTGCTAGGGAGGCAGAAATGCCGTGAAGCTCGTTTCGGCTACAGGATGGTTGAGGCATGTTAAGGTGGTCATCACGGCCCCAGGCCCCCAAATGTCGGTTCCCTTTCCGCTGTGGTTACCGCGCCCAATATTTGCGCATCTTTGGAATTACGTGGAATTATTGCTGTATAATAAAGTTACCTATAGTTAGTGCATCGCAGCCGATTGAGCTTCTTGGTATCCGTGATGACCTCGCGCCAGCCTTGGCCGGCTCTCGGCACCTCTGCCCTGCTCATATTACTGCTCTTAAAGTTTGAAAGCATGCTTTGCTTGCCGCTTATCCACAGGAGCTTCGCGCAGCTATACATATTTCCGATTTCCGCATGTCATGTCGTTTTTTCGTACTGTCCATGCTTACTGTTCAGTGCGCAGCTTGCTTCGAGGGAAAGAGGTATAATTTTACACAGATCTCTTATTAAACCACTAGTGTGACGGCGCTTTGAAATTTATGAGCATGGAGGCAGGCCGTTGCATATGAGCAGCTGCCTTCGTGCATGCGCCTGCTGTAGTATAAAACCAGTCGATGGGCGCAATCATCACATACTGACATAAATTTTATCCAGTTTTTCGAGATTACATCTCGAAGCAGACAATACTGGTAAATTATTCGACCTACCTCTGGGAAGGCAGCAAGTTACTAACCAGCAGCAGACTTGCGACGCACCTGAGTCCAGGTGAAAACATCACTGACAATAGTTCCATATTACATAAAATGTCATCTTTTTGGCACGAAAAAAAAGCTGATGCCGTACGTTGGTGGTTACGAGACCCCTAAACTAAAAATGCGAAGCTGCTCCGACGGCAATACAGCAGTAATGAAGCATGTGACCTTATTTACAATATTCATTTCAATGTATATACATGAGAGAAGCGCTTACGGTATCCTTTGCCGATTTCATTGAGATACGACGGGTATGCACGGATTGACGAGGGTACTCTGTAGAGCTACTCTGCTATCAAACTGATGAACATGAAGTGTAAGGGATTTGTGTTCGTTACCGAGTACGTATGGTTTGGCTTTGATCGGTACGACTCTGTGTCGTGCAAGGCTTTGCCAGACTATTTAAGGCATTCCTACACCATTATTTGTAAGCTTAGTATTCTTCTCTTCCTTGTCTCTCAGTCAGCGATTGATGTCGGGCTCTGCAGATCGGGCAAGTTAGGAACTAATGCTTCCTCCAGTCGCCAACTGGAGCCAGTTCCTTTCATATGGTATCGAGTTATGGTTCAATCCTGCATCGGTCCGTATTGGAGCTGTTTTCCCATCGTCACTGCTTTTGCACTTCGCGCCACCGCACGATCGATTGTTTGCCGGCCCGTGTTGCCGGTCGTTCACCCGCATCTCGTAACTACCGGGTTCATCGCCAGGTAATAATTTCCCTTAGTTGCTAGGATGCCGCCCGCCTTGGCCAGAGTATGACAATCTTACAGGGTGTTTCCACTTGAGTGCACACTATCTTCGGTACATTATGGGCTGGTGTGGACTTAGTGTAGCGCTAGTGTGACGGTATTTCCACTAGCTGCACTAAGGAGCACCGAAACCAAAATGTTTTTTTGGATGCTTTAGCGCCAGGTATGAATTGCTGCTAATTGTCAAAGCCTGTAAGGAAAATATGGATCGTAGGCTTTTCCTATTATCCTATTAAACGCGGGCTCCATTACAAACTGGCAGCCTTCTGAGTCTGTCGGTGTTGGGCGTGTGCAAGCCAACGTGGCATTTGCAGGAAGGAAAAAAGATAGCTGCTCAGGTGAAAGGTCTGTGGTCAGAAGGCACAAACCAGCTCCTAAAAGTTCCCCGCCAAATAATTAGTGCTAGGATTGAAAGTTAATGGCAGGTCTGGGGTCCAATTAACTTTGTGACGCGCTAGTGTGGACTTAGTGTACAGGGTGTTTCCACTAGGCCTCCGGCTGTCCGGCTATCATAACTCTGCTGATGAAGGCGAAAGTGCATCAGTTCTACTTTACCCTTCGTTTTGTGGGAGTGAGGCAGTTCTCAAGCCGTACACACCACAGGTTAACTACCGCAGGTTGTGAATTTGGCCTGCAAAGTTGCGCGTTAAAAATTGCGGTCAGGTAGCACAATATGCATCTCCTTGTTAGGTAATGGCTACAGCCGGCTGTGAATGGCTAGAGGGGGCTTTGATTTGTGCTCGCTGGTCTGAAGATGCTGCAGGTCGTACAGAAGCAGTCAAGGTTCCTCATAACGTGTACCTCTGGCAGGAGGCACGTGTCGAGGTAGCACAGTGCCATCTACAGCTTAATTCATTTTAGCATGATATGTGGGCTCATGTTAAGTAGACGCAAGGACAACAACAAAATGGCATATGCATGATGTTGTAAAGGTGTACAGGTGGTGTACAGACGGTGTGCAGAGACCCACCTGCCAGCAGGGATTGAATGCAATCCGGCGGTTCATCCCGCGCTGCCAGTCTGGCCAGTGGCTCCTGTGAATGGCGTCGCTGGCCCCGACCAGTTTCCCACAATACTCTCGATGTATGCGTATGTAGGATCGGGGGTTGTAGCTTGTAGTAGCTCGCCGCTAAAAAGGCCCCTTAAAGTGCCGGCAGAGCACCTCAGCGCGTAATTATAGCCGATCTTTGTGCCGTACTGTATTACAGCTACTGCATAGACCCACCCATGGCTGTAACACGAAAATGGGAAACATTTTGATAGGACGCCTTCACCTTTGCCAAAGGAATAATTGGCGTTCAGAGGTAATTATGCCCATTTCCCCCTAACAATAACAAAGGAAATTTACCGGCAATCGAGGAAGACCTGATCTTTCCTTAATTTCTGTCCTTCTGATAGTTCTGCTCCTTTTCTTCAACGTCGGGGCGGGTACCAGCACCAGCGGTTCTTCTGATAGTTCTGTTCCTTTTCTTCGGACCCCCTAGCTTTGCTGGTCTTAACATGGGCTCCTTGTTAGGAGCGCTTTGCATCCCGCTAAGGCACAGCTGAAGTACCGGCAATGAACGGTTTGAACATAATATCGAGTGAGTAGAAATGATAGAAGATTCATTTGAGTGAGGACTAACCATTAACAACGAACCACCGAGGTGATGGTGATCACTTATCAATATTCGGCATGCTGATCTTGCTGGACTGCAGAAGCGGCGGACTCACTTTTGGCTTATCAGAATACCAGCAGGGAGTTCTCGCAACTTGCGTTGTCGCTGCCAGAGCTATCAACAACACCAGTGATTCGGGGCCTTTGCGAACTGTCATCAGCCCTTCGTTCAATGATGGGGACTATGGATAATCAGGTCAGTCGGTCATCCACCATGGGCTGCCCACGAGCGATTCCATCCCCGGGGCACATTGTGTAACTGCATGATGTGTCATCATGATGCGTCATGGATTTGTCTGGCCTCACCAGTAGGGCTTTCTGAGCGAGCACATCATAATAATGAACAAGTCATGATGAGCAAGGACATTTGTGGACCAACAAGCTCTTTTAAGAAGTATGGGAAAAATTCAATCTTATCTAATACATGCATGTACATATATGCATATCGTCTAGTACAAGATAAACCTTATTTCCGTATAGTTCCTTTAGCTACAACCAGTCCATCCTTATGGTGTGTGGTGTGTGGGGTGTCGGACCACATGAACACCAGTTTGGTGCCGGTGAAACACATCTGCTAAACATACAAGCACCTGGCGATGCCAGTGTTCAATGCGAGTTCAATGAACACCTGATAACACACTGGCCACGTTCCCTCTTTGTCTCTAGGCCTGCCGGCAAGCACTGCTCCAGGGCCTCAGAACCACCTTCCTCTGGGCCCAGGACCACATTGTCATCACAGACCATCCTCCCTGGTCTGTCATGTCTGAAGTCTCCAGCCAGGATCCCGTGGCCGCACTTGCTGAAGCCCTGTCTCAGCCGGACCAACTGAATGACATGATGGTGCTGCTGACTGAAAGGTGTGGCCTGGAAGCTGAGGATTTTGTGGCCCTGATTCCCCGCGTCTTGAGAGCCATGGCAAATCTTCACAACCATCTAAAGCTGCTGGAGCAACTTGCGAGGAAGATGCAGCTGAAATTTGTGGCAGGGCAGCATATGCATGAAGAGGATATGCGTAAGCTGCGTGGAAGGCTGCTTCAGCAAACATCAAAGCGGTCGCCACCACCAGCTGATATATGGAGCTCATTACTGGTTCCACAACCAAAGCCAGGACCATCCAGCCCCAAACGGCTGCTGTCGCCCGCTTCGTCCAGCCTAACCTTGTTGCCAACCATTCCACTACCACCGCCGCCTGATTTGCCCAGCCCATCCTCAACATCGAACATTCCATTACCACCATCGACTGATCCTACCGGGCCGCCCTTGCTACCAAACCCAATAATCTTCGCTGCCGATTATCACCGACTCGCAATAGCGTCACCCTAATACCGCCTTACCCACAAATACCAACATCGACATCACCACCACCGGCAACACCTACCACCACCTTCTCAACCATCTAACCCACCACCAGCATTACCATCACCAGCGGTGCCGCCCTACATCAACACCTTCTCAACCATCTACCCACCACCATCTTACCCACCACCAGCGGAGCCGCCCTACACACCACCTTCTCAACCATCTAACCCACCACCATCATACCCACCACCAGCGGAGCCGCCCTACACTCCACCTTCTCAACCATCCTACCCACCACCAGCATACCCAACACCAGCGGAGCCGCCCTACACACCACCTTCTCAACCATCTAACCCACCACCATCTTACCCACCGCCAGCGGAGCCGCCCTACCCACCACCTTCTCAATAATCTATCGCAGCCGATTATCACCGACTCGCAATAGCGTCACCACTAATACCGCCTTACCCACAAATACCAACATCGACATCACCACCACCGGCCACCCTACCACCACCTTCTCAACCATCTAACCCACCACCAGCATTACCATCACCAGCGGTGCCGCCCTACACACCACCTTCTCAACCATCTACCCACCACCATCTTACCCACCACCAGCGGAGCCGCCCTACACACCACCTTCTCAACCATCTAACCCACCACCAGCATACCCACCACCAGCGGAGCCGCCCTACACACCACCTTCTCAACCATCCTACCCACCACCAGCATACCCACCACCAGCGGAGCCGCCCTACACACCACCTTCTCAACCATCTAACCCACCACCATCTTACCCACCGCCAGCGGAGCCGCCCTACCCACCACCTTCTCAACCATCTAACCCACCACCAGCATACCCACCACCAGCGGAGCCGCCCTACACACCACCTTCTCAACCATCTAACCCACCACCATCTTACCCACCACCAGCGGAGCCGCCCTACACACCACCTTCTCAACCATCCTACCCACCACCATCATACCCACCACCAGCGGTGCCGCCCTACACACCACCTTCTCAACCATCTAACCCACCACCATCTTACCCACCGCCAGCGGTGCCGCCCTACCCACCACCTTCTCAACCATCTAACCCACCACCATCTTACCCACCGCCAGCGGAGCCGCCCTACACACCACCTTCTCAACCATCTAACCCACCACCATCTTACCCACCGCCAGCGGTGCCGCCCTACACACCACCTTCTCACCCATCTAACCCACCACCATCTTACCCACCGCCAGCGGTGCCGCCCTACACACCACCTTCTCACCCATCTAACCCACCACCATCGTACCCACCGCCAGCGGTGCCGCCCTACGCACCACCTTCTCAACCATCTAACCCACCACCATCTTACCCACCGCCAGCGGAGCCGCCCTACACACCACCTTCTCAACCATCTAACCCACCACCATCTTACCCACCGCCAGCGGTGCCGCCCTACACACCACCTTCTCAACCATCTAACCCACCACCATCTTACCCACCGCCAGCGGTGCCGCCCTACTCACCACCTTCTCAACCATCTAACCCACCACCATCTTACCCACCGCCAGCGGTGCCGCCCTACACACCACCTTCTCAACCATCTAACCCACCACCATCTTACCCACCGCCAGCGGTGCCGCCCTACACACCACCTTCTCAACCATCTAACCCACCACCATCTTACCCACCGCCAGCGGTGCCGCCCTACACACCACCTTCTCACCCATCTAACCCACCACCATCTTACCCACCGCCAGCGGTGCCGCCCTACGCACCACCTTCTCAACCATCTAACCCACCACCATCTTACCCACCGCCAGCGGAGCCGCCCTACACACCACCTTCTCAACCATCTAACCCACCACCATCTTACCCACCGCCAGCGGTCACGCCCTACACACCACCTTCTCAACCATCTAAACCACCACCATCTTACCCACCGCCAGCGGTGCCGCCCTACTCACCACCTTCTCAACCATCTAAACCCACCACCATCTTACCCACCGCCAGCGGTGCCGCCCTACACACCACCTTCCCAACCATCTAACCCACCACCATCTTACCCCCCGCCAGCGGTGCCGCCCTACACACCACCTTCTCAACCATCTAACCCACCACCATCTTACCCACCGCCAGCTGTGCCGTCCCCCCAC